TTTCCCACTTGTTATTCCTTACAAACTACCTTGAAAACCCAAACTTTGAATATCTTGAGGATGAAACTCCTGATCTTTATCGTGAGTTTTCTTAAGGGACTCCGGTTATTTAGGATGTAATTAACTATATGTGCTTGACCTTATAAGGAACTTTAGAACTCAAGTAATATAAACCTTATATAATCTTTATATTAGATAGAAGAACCTGTTGGTCATACACAAGGTTAGCAGACCAAACAAATGTTATAAATTTTTTTAATTTATATGATCGAGATCACTGTCAAGTAGTATGTGATCCACCTTAAAATTACCTATTTTTAGTATATATTTTATGATCGTTTTATGCATATTTTTAGTGATATTGCACTTTAAAAAAAGACATTTTGTATGTTTTCTGGCTTTAGGTACATATAATTACATTTAGAGAAAATAAGGGAAAAAATGAGCAAAAATGGTGCATTTTATGTGACACCATAGCACTGCTCCTTGGTGTTATAGCGCTACAGATGGGCGTAGATGGGCGTAATGGGCGCTATAGCGCCAACAACTACCCTACTAGAAGATTCAATGAATTTGGCCGAATTTTGAAGGGGTGTTTGAAGCAAACCTTGGTTATTTTCAGAGATCTATTAGTAGGGATGAAAATGGGATGAAAGAGAGGACTTTTTTGACGCATTTGAAGGCTTTAGGAAGTTCTACTTTTGTGTTTAAGTGTGAGTTTAAGTGTGTTTTGTGTTTGTAGAGTAAGAGTTTGGAAAAATCTGCAAGGAGACTCCAGAATTTGTGTTGTGGAGAAGACATAAGGTACTTTGTATTTGTGTTTAAGTTTTTTTTTTATTTCTAAGACTTGAATTTCAATACAATTATGCGTTTTTGTTTATTCTCCAGAAATTCTGAGTAGTTCTCTTTCTTTCTTCTTGCATTTAGGAATTAATCTCGCGGGATGAGAATGATTTAAAGATTTCCTTTTACTTTTAAAAAATTATGATGACGTTTTCATCGATTCTTCATTGACTTTATAAATTAGCCATTTGTGAGGTTAAAATTCGTTGAGAAACATAAAGACCCAGGAGGGTTATGATTTCACCCAACTAGTAAGTATCACACTTCATTCTAGGCTTGCCAACACGTAAGTGGGAGTGCAAATAGATAGGGAGAGAAGTTTTGATGGGTGTATAATTGATATTTCTAGGGTAACAGACTAGATCTTTTTATCAATTTAGTTTAGAGTTTGGATCGTAAGGGTCCCTAGTAGGTCCTATAAAGAGGGCACATTGGGTAAGCTGGAGGTGAGAGGATAGAATCTACTCAGCACTAATACACAAATTGGTGAAAAACTATAGATTAGCCATTGTTCTTTGCTAGCACCGAGATTGGGAAAAGAATAGAAATGCCCCTATTTGTCACAATACATCATCTTATTTTTAGTCATTCAAATCCTACACAGATTAATATCTCTTTCTAAGGGTAAAGATCTTTTCATAATATTCAATCTAGTTAAATTTACTTTGTTTAACTGTTAATCTTAGTTGTTTCTTTCTGCTTTAATTTAGTCTTAACCTTTGCAATCATATCAACATTGTTCTACTTTTATTTTACCTACAAGTTAGATAAAATTTTGCAAGTCTAATTTAAAGAATTCAACTTTCCTCGTGGGATCAATACTGGGTTTTAAAGAAAATCCTTATATTACTTGAAACGATACGTATACTTGCGTCGTACCTCTAGTGTAAAGTTTTATTATTTATTTTCTATATCATTTCATTTATTCATATTAGCCGCTAAATACAAATCAAGACAAATTTTTGGCAATATTTTGGAGGTTAAAAATATACGCAATTGCGGGCCGGATCAGTTTGTCTCTCTCTCGGGATGGTGTATTGCTTGTAGTGTTATGCTCGATCACTTAAACTATCAAATGCATGAGATCTTGTTAGTCTCATATTTAAAAAAAATTAAAATACTATTTTTATAAATAAAAATTATATGTATTTAAAATAAAAAATCATTTAAAAAAATTAAGCGACTGACAACAACACACCCAACATATCCACCCGACACCTTCACACCACACAACCACCCAACGCGTCCACACACCACCACCTCCTAATCACACAACCACTATGCACCAACAACTCCACACCACACAACTCTCCCACACCACAACCTCTACACCACAAAAACACATCCACACAACACCACCTCCACATCACACAACCATGCGAAACCACCACACTGACACCCAACACATCACACCACACAACACATCCAACACATCCACACAACACCACCTCTACACAACACACCCAACACATCCACCCAACACCTCCACACCTTACAACCACCCAACAAATCCACACACTACCATCTCCTAATCACACAACCACCCTACATCACCACCTCCACACCACTCAACTCTTCTACACCAACACCTCCACAACACACCAGCACATCCGCACAAAAACCACCTCCACAAAACATCCACACATCCATACCACACAACTCTCCTACACCACCACCTCCACATTCCATTTGCATTTCCAATTACCGCCACCACCAAATTTCGGGCATCAACCAAATAGAGCAAAGAAAAACCACCACCACACCACACTACACCACACCACACCACACCACACAACCATCCAATTATTAAATTACATTTCCAATTACCACCACACCACACAACCATCTAACACCTCTAAATTCCACATGCAATCACTACCATCACAAAATTTTGGGCATTATTCGAATAGGGAAAAGAAAAATTAAATCCATCAACCAAATAGAGCAAAGAAAAACTAAATCCATCAACCGGATGTAGCATAAAGAACCAATATCATCAACCGAGCATATCGTAGAGAAACCAAACAAATCCCAAAATCCAACATCAACCAAAAAACATTCAACGATAGGAGCACAAAGAACCCCGGAATACCATCATACATAAATATTTGCAAAATCAAAATGCCCGCATAGATAAGGTAGAGAATACCAGAATAGAGAGGAGAGAGAGAGGGACCGCTACATAGAGGGTGGAGAGGCAATGATCCAAATAGAGCCAAAGAACAGAGGGGAGAGGGAGAGGGAGAGGAAGAATGACAAACTCACCACAACAACCACCAGAACCAATAGATTGAAATGGAAAGAAGCCCTACCCACCGGAGTCATAGATCCAAGGGAATCGATAGAATAAAGTTAGGGCAACAATCATGAGATAGGGGTGAAGGGGTAGCGGGTAGAGCGAGCGGTGTGTGGGATGAAGGAATCACGAAGAAACGCAGGCTGCAGGTTCGACCCACGATCCACGATTCATATAAATTTTTCGAAGCCGCTTCCCCACAACATTTACCAAACGCCACTAGCAGCGGTGTGCAACTGTACTACGGATAAAAAGCCACCCCATACAGAGCCTTAGCCTTAGTAAGGATCATTTGCGAGTAGAATTTTTGCATTTAACAATACTAAATTTATGACTATTGTGTAGATACCATAAAACTAAAATTGGAGATCGTAAATATGCTTACTTTTAAGGTGAAATTTGAGATGTTTAAATTGACTTGTATATTAATTTTTGATAGTGGATTATATGGTGAAGATCTAAAAAACTATACTAATTTGGAGACATAAAAAATTTGAAAGATTTACATCCAGAATCTTATAATTGAAATTTTAGGATGTGTTAATATCCTTGGATTATGTAGATAATCATCTGACAAGTTATTACAAACCGATTATAAATAGGCCTGTAAACGAACCAAAAACGAGCGAACAAAACTGGTGCTTGTGTTGGATTCGTTTAAAATTACGTGTGTTTGAAATAGACTCGTGTTTGAAATTGTTCGTGAAGTTACTGTTCGTGTTTGGTTTAATTTGTTTGAAATGTTTGAATTGTTGAAGTTGTATGAATTATTCGAAATCTTACGAATTTGTTTGTATTGTTCGAAATCTTTCAAAAACTAAACATATATGAAATTAATGCTTAAACCTGTAAGAATCACAACACAAATACAAAATAGTCGAAACACAGCTTATAATAAAGCAATAATATCATATCTCATCCATTAAAAAATCAGATCTTGAGGCAATATGCGAGATTTCACTTCCAAAAACTAGGTTTCACTCAAAGAAACTAAATAAATCTAAAACAAATATAAGAAAATTTAAGCTAAGAGATGAATCTGAAGATAAATACGAAATTATAGAATTCAATATAAGCTAAGAGGTGAACTTAAAGATCAAATTATAATTTATAGGATTTAATTTCGTTTTTAGAGTATAAAATTATTTTTAAAATATGATAGATTTTTTATACATAATTATTTTAAATTATTTTTTATTTCGAACAATAACGATTCGAACATGATCAAACAAATAACTGTTCGTGTTTGGTTCGTTATAAACCGAATGAAAAAAAAATTGTTCGTGTTCGCCTCGTTTTCTTATCGAATGAATCGAACCACAACTCCCCGATGAGCTAAATATGAACTGTTCGCGAACATCGATCTTTTTTGACAGCCCTAACTATAAATGAACAATATAACTCAATTTTTAAATGCAATAACAAAAAAAAAATTATGAGTTTTTCCATAAAAATGAATTAAATACTTAATTTATTATTTTTGGATTAGCTAGAACCCCACCCAAAGCATTTAATTTAAATTATTTCGATTTGACTCAATTTAAATTCTAAGGCTCCGTTTGGGGCAGCTTATCTGTTGTGGCGTCATTTGGAAAACGCCACCTCACTATTTGAAAATTATATTTGAACAATTTATTCGAAATCGTTGTTGGTTTTTTACACTAAATACGGAAAGCAGATGAAATATAATTTTGGTCTACGTTTTCAAATAATCGGTTTATCTGAATAAGCACATGTTGCCCTAAACATATCCTAAATTAAATCAAATAAATAATTTTACAAAAATTACATTAAATCAAATTAGATCAAAACTGAAAATTTCCGTTTTGATTTGTTTTGAATTTTCGGATTAAGCGTTTTGCTTCCCGCACCAGCACCAAACCGACGCTCAGATTTTAGCCGACCTTCGGGTTTGAAGTCGCAGTCTCAGCTTTTGCTTTTGGTTCCAATCGGTCTCCCCGTCTTGTACTGCCGTTCCGCTCGATTCCTTCCTGAGAATTATCAGCTGCAAGGGAATTTTGGTACCCCCGGCTCCTCTTCTCCCACCCCCCACCTCCCACCCCCCTGGTTTTATTTCAATCGATTGCTCACTCTCATCTCTTTGAACCCTATTGAAATTTATACTCTTTGCTCCCTGGGACTACGTGGGCTGGAAGGAAGTGGAAGGGTGGGATGGTGAATTGGGAGTTGAAGCACTGCTGCAAGCACGACCAAGTCGTCTTCATTGTGACCATTGGCGTCTCTATTGTTGTAATCCTCTCTGTAAGCGCATCTCCAAACAAATCTGCTCCATTTTCTTTTCTTGGGTCTTGCTCTTTTCCCTTCAATTTCTGCCTTAGCACCGGATTGGGGATGTAGGAAGTCATAATTCAGGGAAAGTGAAAAATTCATTAACTCCACTTTCTGATTGACTCAGATCCCAATTAAGGGAGTTTTACTGTTTGAAATTTTGAGACATGGACCTGGGTTGGCTGTATTGGGATACTTTGGTGTTTTTGATACTAATCACTCAAAATATTAAATATAACATTTTAACTGCAAAAATTTTAAATTTAATATTTATAACCACCCGAAAGCTTCACTCAAAATCTTCATCAGTCAGTTTAGGAGGGAGATTGTAATGAAAAAAATGGTTAAAATATTATATTTAATGTTTGGGTGGTTACAATGGTATATTTAATATTCTTGGTGGTAGGTCCTATAGTTTTTCTTGGGACAATACCCAAATGCTTTACTCACTTAAATTAGTTGCGAGAGCTTCTTCTATTAAACTTGATTATAAGCCTCTTCTTTCTTGGATGAATTTGTAGCTTTGGAGGACAGTGCTGCTAACTCCTTTCAAGCTTATCACAGTGTTCCTTCATGAAACGAGCCATGCTCTTGCTTGTAAGCTAACTTGTGGTGATGTAAGCACTCTTTGATGCCTCCAGTTCTATGTTATTCCTATTAGTTTTTGAAACATGGCCTTCCCGTTTGTTTCTTTAAATAAACTTGATTCAGAATGATTGCTAGCGTAATAGGCCAGTAGCATTGTTTGTAGTCATTACATGGTATCAACTTAGATAACTTTTATAATTTGTGGAACTTCGTATTGAGTTCAAGCTTTTGAATTTGCATAATAATTTGCACAATATATGCATGAATTACATGAAGATATTTATGGACAATTGACTATTTATTATGACAATTATAAGCCTATTGTTGGTATGGACATTAATGTGGAGCTTAAACAATGTGCTATACATCTAAATCTTGAAAAGGTTTCTTAAATGAGCCTTTTAAGCAATTAATTGAAAGGGGGGTCTATTTAAAATCATGCAATATATTGGATAAATCCTTATAAACTAGAAATTCTAAGACGTTATGTAACTAATTTGTCTTTATTTTATAAAACCACTGCCAATGCCTTTGATTCTTCTTTATTTCATTTTTTTCATTGTTAATTAACCTCGAACACTCTATTAGAAAATCCTATAAATCATGATCCTAAATTTATACTAGAAAATAAAATTCTGTTCATGACAAATGGTGTATTTTAGAGATATTTTCTATTTCGATTTGGTAAGCCTTTATGTTATGATTCATGGACTATAACAAGAATTTTACCAAAACTTTCTTAATCATTATTAATTGTTAAATTCATTTGAGCTACTTTTTTATCCAACCGAGGCAAATTTGATGGAAATTTGGAAGTTTTCGAAAAACACAAATTGGATATTGAGATTAGTAAATTAGCAAATTAAATATTATTTTTCATTTTAGTTATTTAATTTTATAGTTTCTATTTTAAATTTTAGGTAACTTGTATGATTATGGCTAATATGTTATCTACAAGATTATATTTTGTTTTATATTTTAACAAAACATTATTTGCACAATATGTTGGAGTAATTTTTTTTTAAGTTGGGTAGATTGACATGGACTCATCTACCCTTCATCATGCCTCCATTACAAGTCGCTTTCATGTTGATTCTTCGCCTTAGTCACATTTTTTTTTCACAATCTTATCTATAATCCTAGCTGCAACTGGAGTTACTTCTATTTCACGAACTCATCCTGTCTCTTTTGCCTCTATCATCTATGTTACGATTTATGTCCACTTTTCTCGATCCATGGGTTCTCTTGTAATTAAGGGTTGTTGATTATGTGAACTATTTTCTCACATACTATTCATGTGCTTATCTATTATTCCACTAGTACTGTTCACACTATTACGTGGGTTATACCTCTTTTTCTTTGTCATGTTTATCCATAAGTGTTTGGACGCTTGTTATGAATTGTTGGATTACTTGAGGTCTTATGGTTTTGCGCTTGAATGCATGCCTTCTCTATATATACCAACTTGGAGGAATGGAAATTGAGTGTCTATAAAGAAAATCTTTAGGCTTATACTTTCTTTCTAGTTTTTGGCTTAATAAAAGTTTCTAGATTTCCTTAAACTTGTATGTTTGTTGAATACTGATTTATTTGAGTGTAGTGCTTGTGTGACTACTTGCTTTTAGGAGATAGTTTTGTTATTAGTGCGAGGCTTCAAATTTTTGAAGTTATTGATTTCTTATCTAGTTCTTATTTTACTTGAATAGTTTAATATTGGGTTTGCTTGTGTGATTTATTTTATTCTGAACAACTAGGTTTTTTTTATTGTAGTGTAAATCTTATTCTACATGTAATTTTTTTACCTTCAAAATTTTGATTGAATTTCTATTTTTTACAATCATCAATTTAGGCATTGCTTTGGTTGAGCTTTAGCTTTTAAAAAATTTTGTTTAAAAATGGTTTTAAAAAATTAGCACAATAAAGATGATGTTATTAAAGGTGATATAGTTGTTTGAATAAATTGCTTTTTTATATTCTTTGTCATACCAAGGCGTTATCTATTGCCTGTTTAGCTATGCTATTAGTCGTAGCTTTTTAACACAGAAGGCTACAATACTCATATTTTTTAATTACCAAACTCATTTGAAATACTAATTCTACAAAAAATCTTTTTATAGAAATGCAAAATTATTACACATTTAATTATTTCAATTAAAAAGTCACCAATTTATTATTACATCTTACTAATTTCATTTAGATTCATTTTTTCCTTGGACTAAAACTTGCTACCTTTGAGATAATTTTGTGAGATATTACCTCAATTGACGTGAGAGCTCTTCTGTGGATACTGTGTCCCACAATATTGAATTGCCCGACCTTGCAATTGCGGGATTCTGCCTATGGTAGAGTCAATATCCCGAATGCTGGAATATGAATAGTGATTGGTCGCTGTCTTTGTGAAGGTGATCTCCACAATCCAGCTAGCTTGATCAAGCGAGACTTTTGCAATTTTCTCGATTAGCACGAATTCTCCAGCCTGCTGCAGCAGCCATCCTGAGTCTATATTTGATATTTCTATATTTAGAATTAGGGTTTCGGAAAGAACAATTTATATGTTTCTTTTCTCTGTTTCAAGTAAACTTTTTTCTATTGTTATTATGTTTGGAGGTGTGGTTCTCTATTTTATGTTTTTTCGGAGTGTTGTATCCTTTCTTTTTGCAAGTGGTGTATCTATATCTTGTTTATGAACAGTTGGTGGATTCCCTCTCTGCTTGCACCTCGCAGTTTTGCCGTATCTCCATTTTTGTTGTTTTCAGTATGGACAACCGCCAAACTCCTCCAAGTTGCTTTCCAACAATAGATTTTACCCCATTTACCCTTCCAAGTGCAGCCAACCTCCAATATTGTTACTTCTTTGCTATTTGACAACCAACTCCTCACTACATCTGCTTCCCAAACACCTTATAGGAGCCATATAACACTATCAAATGGTTTCAGAGTTTGATAAATCCTAAATTTTTTTGGATTTGTCTTTTCTATCTACCACAAACCTAAAATTTCAAAAAAAAAAAAAATCCCACAATACCTAAACATTTATACCGCAATTCCTTGTCTCAACCCTAAATTTTCAAAGTCTAACATTCTTACATTCACTAAAATTCCACGTCGATGCCTACCACAATAGCCTAACCAATATTTAATTTACAATCCTACATTCGCCGAAATCCTAATCGAGAGAAAAGGACGCCGTGCCGTAAAGGAGAAACTCTCAATGAGGTGTGGATGAACTTATTATGGAGGATATGAAGTGAAAGATCCTTTAACAACAATAGAGGTTTGCCACTTTTGAAAGGAGATAATTCGGTGAAGTTACTGATAGCTGTAATGGTGATTCGTCAGATCAAGGGGAGGAAGTGGATCTCTTCCACCAATAAGTTTCACATGATGAACAACCAATACCGCGCCAAATTGGCATTTAATTTTAGAAAAACCGGTATGTTGGAGTGAATACCAACATACAATATTTTGAAGGTTGAATGAATCTGGACAAATTCATCAAGTGACTTCAGATAGTAGACTCGGTACAAAGATGTCAAAGCCGACAAGACGATCAAATTAGTCGCTATTAAATTAAGGAAGAATGCTTCCTTATGATGGGAGAACTCTAAGCTTCATTGACAGCAGGAAGGGAAGAGAAATTATTACCTGGTTTAAGATGTAAAGGGAGACCTAGTGCAAATTCCTTTTCTCTCATTATCGGTAGGATATGTTCATAAAATTTCACCACCCATGTCAGAGAGATTTTTATGTCCAACACACAATTGAATTTGACGTGCTTATGCTGAAATGTAAGTTGGTGGAACCAGATGAGCCCACAATAGCGATATATCTTAGAGGATTGAGGTCATTTATTAGTAATGTGACGCGGCTGCAGTCGTATTAGTCCCTACTAGGTGTACAAGCCCTTGTTTTAAAGGTGAAGAAACAACATCACTAGATGACTCACCGTCACACCTTATAAATAGAGTTCAACCACAAGATCAGGCAACAAGAATACACTAAGTGGAACTTTCTAGGCTACCCTGCAGGACGAAACTAGTTGAGACTAGATAAAAAATGGACACAACCAACACTCTTTGATCTGTCACAGTCAGGAAGTTCTTCAATTGTCATAGATTTGGGCACAGTGCTTCTGATTGCTTGAACACGAGGATAATATCTTTCACTGATTAGGGAGTAGTGGAGGAAGCAAAGGATAATTTTCCCGATCGACGTGAATTCTCTCGCTTGCCGTAGTTGCTAGCCCCTTGTGGTTTGTCTTTTATGTTTAGATTAGACTTTTTGTTATTGTTATTATGTTTGGAGACATGATTCTCAATTATATGCTCTTCAGAGGGGTGTATCTTTTTCTTTCGCAAGTGGTGTATCTGTATCTTGTTGAGGAACAAGTGGTGGATCCCCCTCATCACCCACAACCAACTGTTCCACACTTTGTCATTCGCCATTTACCGTTCGCCGTTCGCTTGCTATTTTTAGCCCGGATAGCCACCAAACTTGTCCAACCTGCTCTTCATTAGCTGGTTTCACCACATCGACGCTTCCAAACCCCACCAATTTCCCTATTGTCATTTCCTTGCTATTCTACAATCACCCCTCACTACATTCGCTTCGCAAACACCTTTTAGGAGCCATAGAATGGTATCATTAATATTTAGTATTAATTTCATCCAACAAAATAAGATATTTATTAAGTCCATTTTTTCTATAAATTGATTTAATTGCCTCAATTATTCAAATAAATTAATCCTATTTTAATCCTTTCATGATCCAACACATAGGTTGAACCAGAGAATACAATAACAACAATAACAACAACAACAAAGCCTTAATCCCACTAAGTGGGGTCAGCTACATGAATCTTTTTTCTCCATTGCGTCCTATTTAGTGTCAAATTTTCATTTAATTCTAATAAATTAAGATCATTTTTTATACAATAAGCCCAAGTCTTCCTAAGTCTACCTTTGACTTTCTTAACATAAGTTGAATCTAAAACATTTACTCTCCTAATCGGATCATCAGATGATCGACG